AAAAAACTTAAAATTCATAAACTTGGTTGTTCACAGAAACAAGGAAAGATAACAACAACAAAGAAGTCTTTGAAAACTTGAAGATGACAGTTAGAGGGGGATTTGACACTAACCTATGGAGAAACTTGGGTGCTTATCATGAAAAAAGAACCAAATCTCTGAGAATAAGATTTTAATTAAGCATAAAATTAGAAAGTACCTTAATGTATTCTACAAAATTAGAAAGTAAGTCCCGACTTCCATCTTGGACTTCATTCTCAGTAGTCCCTTCGGCATCAACAGAAAACTCCCCTTTCCACTTCTCAAACTCCAATGCAGCAGCTTCTTCCTCCCTAGCCTTCTGAGCTTTAGCTTCTTCTTCCTAGATAAACCACACCCAAAATCTTTAACAAAAAAGCTATAGACACACAGATATAAGTACACATGTGAGCCTGTGCATGAATGTCAGATCTGGTAACAAAAGAAAATGGAAGGCAATTAACCCACCAGCTTATGCTCTATTGCCTCACGCTCCTCATCCTTCCTTCTCCGCATTTCAGCATATCGGTCCTGTTTAGCATGCCTTGACTCACGTGCAGCCTCATCAGCCTTTATCAGAAATTCAGAATTATACGAAACTCAGCACATAATGGTGGCTAATATTCCAATAAAAACGAAAAATAAGCCTGAGTAAAGTTGAAACATCTTCAAAAAGTTCATATCTTTCTAATCCTTGATGATTGTTGGAAAAATATAGGTTCAAAAATTACACAACATTAAAACTGTGACAACTTTGTACATCTCAATCATGATATTTGGAATTTTATAAAAGTTTGGCTTCTGTTAATAAGATGATGTCCATTCAAAGACAAAGACATATTATAACTTAAGATAACAATAGCTAGACAACCAAATAAAAGATAAAATATTAAAGTTAAGATACCATTATTTTACCTGTCTTTGTGCTTCCCGCTCCTGTCGTTTCTTTTCTTTTTTCTTTGATGCTTTAGCCTGGTAATATCCATCTGCTTCATCCTCTTCATCACTTCCATCAACATTCTCTGCACTCATAAAATTTATAGGAATGACTACTCAAAGCAACATCTGTTACACAAAATTATACTGGGCTCTTGAGCAAAGAAAAGTGCTTGAGGCACACTTCAAAATACAAGACTAGAATGGAATTAAACTTTCAACGCTTAATAGTCACACAATACAAATGAAAAGACCAAGACATAAATCAGACCGGATTCAGACACTAGAGAAGAGTAAGTGAGGAAAGTTAAGGTAGCTATAGACTATAGTTAGACATATAGGAACACACCATGTGTTATCACTGGCATGGTACTCAAAAGCTTGGGAATAAATTGTGAAGTTTTCAAAAAAGCAATGAACACTAGTAAAAAATATAATGTCGTATATAATGGAACCCAAAACCAAACTAATCTACTGAGGTTGCGCCCACATAGTCAGACCACTACAAGTCTATGAAAATGTTTGATATTAAAGACTGACAAAATTTCCTCGGCAAGTTATTTCAATAATATTTCATTAACATAAATCCCCATATATACCTTAAATTCAAGCACATGGAAAACAACCAAGGAAGGTTTAAATTACACTGAAAAAAAGAAAAATTGTTTTCTGAAGGTACAGCACCTGCAGTGCTTGAAGCTGCACCTGCAGCTGACGATGTGCTAGCTCCAGCGGCTGGTCTCCTACGCATCCTACGAGCACCAGTGGCGCCAACCACAGCTTCCCTCGTTGGAACCTGAAACCGACACCAGGGAATAAGAAACAAACAAAAAGCCCAGAATTTGCTCATCTGGGGAAACCTTCAAACATTGAATAAATGCGCAAATTTGGTGAAATAGAAAAAGGGGGAAAGAAATGGACCTGACGGTCTTCTTCGTGTTCCTGAGGTGATCCTGAATCCTGCCGGCGTTTCCATAGATACAACGGAATCAAAGCAACAACAAGAAGCATAGACAGAATCACGGCAAGTAATTCCTCCATTTTTAAAATTTGGCAGTACAGAAGATGATCGGAGCAGGTGAAATGAGTTACAGAGCTAGGGATTTGGACTTGGGTGGCGACCTAACTGCAAATTGGGAACCGCATGTTAGTGTTCAGGGATTTGAAGGTTGGATGATTCAATTAAATTTTGTATATATTTATTTAATTATTTATTTATTGTTAAGATAAGTTTAATGAATATTTTTAAAAAACGACTTAGGAATATATTTTTATACTATTTTTTATATAATTTTATCTAAAAAATGGTGCCTATAAACTTTACCTTTTAAAAATTAAAAAAAAAAACATCTCAAAATTAAGTCGTTTTAATAAATTTTTATTAAAAAAATTAAACTACAATATTATTAAAGTATGTATTAAGGTGATTTTTATTTTTTTTTCTTAATTTTTTAGAGGTAAGCGAACAAGCACTACCCCTTTTTATTTATTATTTAAATAATTTATTTATTTAAATTTATAATATTAAATATATTTATTTATTTATTTAATAATATATAAACAATTATATAAACAATTATTCATATGTTACAGGCCTAATATTTTTATGTACTGAATTATTAAAAATATTTTAATTTTTTATTATTTATTTTGATATTTTAATTATTATATAATAAAAAAGAGAGCAATTTCCTTTTTTATGTATATTTTTTATTTTGCCGAGCAACCATTTTTGTGCCAGGGGAAAAAGGAAGAAAACTATTGAAGTTCGTTACTTGTTTTGTAATTCTAAGTTTGACCGTATGAATTTTCAAAACATAAATTATAAGAATAATAAATTAAAAATATATTTTTCAATATAAATTATACTTTTATATAATTTAAAAATAAAAACTATTAAAATATCTTAAATGGAAAGTTAATTTCCATACTTTGCTTGAAATGAATTATGAAACCGAAAATATTACGGGCTGGGCCGATTTTGATTATTTGGACCGGTCCTAAGCTTTATTTTTTTAAGAAATCAATTTTTTTAAGGGTCTTCAGATTTTCAGACTGATTTTTCATTTTGCCTTTTTTTAATTTAATTAGTAGTAAGTTTACTTTAGATCAAAATATCCCTAAAACAGTAAACTAGCCTATATATAACCATTAGAAAGGGTTAAATTACTAGTATTAATTAATCATTAGAATATCAATTAATCAAGAACAACTAATCATTTTTTTTTTTTGAATAGGCATAATTTGAGAATAGAGATAAGAAATTATAACATAACAAGCATTATCTTAATTATTATTAAGACGTTGAGTGTCCTTATTAAGTGACTTATCAAATCTAATAAAAAAATTAATCATTAGAATAAATTTACATTAATGTATCAATTTTTTTATTTGCAATTTACCCATAAAATTACCTGTGATATAACTGTTCAGAGGAAAAAGGTAAACAAAACAAAAGTAAAAATATTTTTAACTTTTTTGACCGTGGATCAATTTTGGACTAACCCCAAGCCCATTCTAAAATGCCGGCCTGGAACCAGTCTTGGGCTAAGTTTTTCCTGGTCTTTGTCAATGTCAAGTAAGCCCGATTCAACTCTGATATTCGGCCATGTGTATAGTCTTAACTCGAGGGTTAAAGTTTTGTTTGTCATTAGGAGTGTGCTGTGTTGCGATGTATCTAATGGTAAGTGTAGTTTTTTTTAAAATATATAATATTAATTAAAATTAATAAAAATATATAAAAATTAAGGGTTGAGTAA